CCAGGCTTAGTGAATTAAGTTGTCTCATTTATGATGTCCTTTTGCCTCATGAATACATGTTTGTAAAACTAAATGAAATAAAGGGCTGTCATCTCAATGAAGAGTTGCATTACTTTTCTGTCAGCATTAATGTTATATCTTAAGTATGGTCACTTTTAGTTCAACTGCTCAAACTTTTGAGAGCCGACTCATCAGTGAGAGGCTACTGCTACCACTACTTAACTCTGATTAGGTGGTGGGTAAGACAGATGCACTCACTAATGCGATCAGCACAAAAAAATACCTCCAACGAACATTCTTCACTCAGGGTACATTGTGACAGCTCGCGAGAAGTTCTTGGAATCTGTTACGGCGATGTTAACCTCAAGAAAATAGTGAATTTATACGAGGTCGACAATTTTGGGAGCTGGGAATAAATATTCCTAGTAGTAACATAGCTTGCCTGTTACAGCTTACAGGTTTTTCTCTTGTAAATTTTCTAATGCATCTCGTTAGTCACATCTTGGCACTCTGTGAAAACATTGTAAGAACAGTGCTGTTTTAAATTCATAGTCCTTTGTTAGAAAACAATTTCAGTTTTGAGTCTTTTTTGTCCTTTTTTGTTTACTGTGTTTATTGTTAAGTTAAAGGACCTGATTCTGAATTTGAGAAAATTCATCTCACATGTAAGGTACCAACAGCACTTGATGGATGATGTGGTCGATAATATTCTCACCACTGTTAATTGTCCCATTCAGTTTCTGCTATGTAGTTATAACTTGAGAACAGACATCATTGCACTTGGCACACACACCCCTTATCTTTAGCAACAAGCACAGAGTTCTAATTCCAATGGTACCAGAAACAGTCTGATTGTGTGTTCATCTCCCCCTTCTCTGGAGTGTTCAGCATCGGCCAGATCCCCAGGATGCCACCTAGTTTATGATTTGGAGTCAATTGCGAGCCAATGTTTAGAACAATCCATCTGTGAGAGCGGGGGGTTTAAATTTAAGCCCATTGATTCTCCACACAAAGAAACCTATTATATTAATTACCACAATGGAAAGGCAAGATGGCCGCCATGTTATCGACCATGTCACCCATTGAGTATTGGTCTATAAATATATGGGGCTAGCACGCTTTATACAATTTCTTTGAAGTCAGAGTGCATCTGCCCGAGAGACAAGGAACCAACAGTCTGCATACACATACACCAGATCTGTAAAATGAATGCGCACACAGCAGTCAGGTTCGGGAACACGACTAAAGTCCAGAGGTGAACGAACAACCAAAGCTTTTCATTACAGCCATTAAACGTGAAGAAGATGATTTTCACATCAAAGGTGTCCAACTGTTCTATCAATAAAAAAAAAATTAATATGTCAGAGTCTGTAAGTAAAGTTCCCACAATATGAAAAGTGTTGTAATTGTATCATCAGAGGACAAATAGGCAGAAAGGAATTCTAATTACGTGGACTGTGATTCTGTTACCATCTGCTTTGCTGCACAGATAACCATTCAAAGCGTTTTATGGAAGTAGTTTCTGCGTGATCTTTAATAATACGCTATCCTCATGTTTACCATGTTCAGCTGTTTAGGAATCTACTGGCTGGTCTGTTTTTTTTTTCTTTTCTTCTGTTTCATCCTTACTAAACATTTCAACTGTATGCTTTTCATTGACTTCTGAACTCACTTTTGCTTTCCCCATCCTGAGATAACTGTTAAATATGCTTTCAGTAACTGGAAATGAACAACACTGAATAAAAAAAAAATTATGATGTAAGACATTGCTTTGGCGATTAAACAAAAATCAGAGCTCTGAATGTTTTAAGTTTTTTCTGAAATATTAGGCATCAGTGTTGTTGTTATTGCATGCAGAATTGTGGCGGCATGAGTCACAACATAGGATGACCATTGGTGGTGTGGTGTCCCTACAAGACGACTTGTCATTCATCTGAAACCAGTGGTAAGAGCTGTGTCTTGACAGATGCCATGCAGATTTTGTACTATAGTGTTGAAAGGAGATGGTGAAAGATAAACGTGAGAGGCTATTTTATATTTGTAAATTTTTGTGTTGGTCATCACACAGTAGTAGTAGTAATTTGTTTATTCAGGGCATGCCAAGAAACAAAATATTTCTGTTATGAAAATAACTAGGTACTAAGCGTACGTTGCAGTAGTTTGACTAATCGTGAATTATAGAAAATTTAAAAAAAGCAGTAGTTTGACAAGTCAGTAATAGAATGTAATATATATATATAAAAGTGGTTATGTGGTGCTGGCCATGTTATAAGTTTTGACTGGGTTTTTTAAACTCATGGGACTGGAGCCACATACCCAATAAAAGGACCTTGATATTTTTAATTTATTTACATATATATATAAAAATTAAAAATATCAAGGTCCTTTTATTGGGTATGTGGCTCCAGTCCCATGAGTTTAAAAAACCCAGTCAAAACTAATAACATGGCCAGCACCACATAACCACTTTTCACTTCCCTAAAAGAATTCATGATATCCATTTCAGGCTGGCTACTTCTGCAATTTATCCCATAGTGAAGCATAAGCCCTCATCCAACTCATGCCAGATTGTCCTGTTCTTTGCTATTGCATGCAGCTCTCCCAGTATCCTCACTATCTTTTGAATTTCTCTTTCTCCGAAGTGTCATTTGCTATTAAAACAACCTCCCCCATCTTGGTTGACTGGGTATTACTTGTTTCTTTTTGAAGATTCTATGGTTGGTTGGTTGTTGTTTTTTTAACAGTATGGAGTAACCAGCCCCAGACTCAACTTCACACATTTTAGTCACTTCTTACGACTTATCTGGTAGGGTGCAGTCTTACTAATGTTAACTTCCCCATGAGGCTGTTAGGCTGGTTTGACCTGTGGGAATAGAACACTCATTTTAATCGTTAACTGCTATTCTCTAAAAAAAAAATAATAATAGCATGTGATCTTTAAAAACTCCACGTTTTAGGTTGATTTAAACACAATGTATTTATTAGGTTGCGCTCTACACACACAATCACTTTGGCATTAGTATGGCTGCAGCATCTGAGAATGTTTGTCTGTATAAGCATGGCATCTTCAAGGCATGAAGATTTGTTTGCTGACTTTATATATTATGCTTTTATCATTTCATTTCAGAAAGAAAAACAGAAACGTGAGGAACAGAAACAGGTATACATTATTACCTTTGTTTTCCACAATTTAAATACTTTACGCAGTCAATAAAAAAAAATACAAACATTTGAGTAGTTGTCAAAATTAGAATGTGTAATTTCATAACAATTATTTGCTTGTAAGATGTGCAGGAGACGGGTTTGAATCCTGAGTTAGGTTGTGGATTTTTTCCTGTCAAGGGGCAAAAAAGTACATTCCTAACCTGTATAGTCAGTGGCGACAGCACTAGCCATGCGCCTTATATCTTATATCCTTAGGCTTAAAAACACCCCTGCCTACATCGAAAAAGTGGTAAACACCAACAGTAATGACAGTTTTTGAGCTTGTAATATGCTGATTGCCTAAATTACTAAGATGGAGAAAAGCTTCCAGTTTCTACAGAAAAGCAATTATAAATTACATTAGAAGTATAGCATTAAATTGAGGAAGAGGCATAAATTGGCTTTGTCTTTTAAGGATCAAGTTCAGTCAGCTTCTGCTCTGACAGCTGGCTTTATAGTAGTGTTTTTCAACCCTTTCGGGTGTCACACTCCATGAATATTTGATGCCCCCCCCCCCCCCACACACACACACACACACACACTTCCCAACAACTTACTTACTTAGTCGCTCCTCTTCTACCTTGGGGTGTAGAGGTTTGCCAGAGAGATCGCCAGACGTCTCTATCAGCAGTTTTCTTTCTGGCTTTGTTTCATTCCAGTCCTCTGTCAGTTAGGGACTGTCGGATGTTGTCTTCCCAGCGCACCCTGGGTCGTCCCGGAGGTCTGGTTCCCTGGTTCTTAGCCTCCCATGCTTGCCATGGTGGCCAATTTTCTCCCATTCTGCATACATGTCCAAACCATCATAACTGTGACTGATCTACTCAGGTTAGTAAGGGCTGGGTATCAAGATCTTGACGTATTGTCTGATTGCGGACTTTGTCCCTTCTTGTCACTTGGACCACCTTTCTCAGGTATCTCATTTCCGAGGCCTGCAGCTGGCTTCTGTGAGCTGTTGTCATTGCCTATGACTCACACCCATAGGTCAAGACTGGTACATAGGTAGAGCGGTAAACAGCCATTTTCGTCCTCTTGTCAATTTCTCTTTTGCTAAGAAACCCTCGGTTTATGGCCTGGAAGAGTCTCCCAGCAGCTGCTTTTCGTGTAGCCAGCTCAGTCTTAATGCCTCCGTTTTGGTCTAGTACAACTCCAAGACTTCCCAACAAAATTATTCAAAATAGAACAAGACAAAATGCCAAACACTACCAACAAGATCTTTATCATCCTGTTAATTAGATTTTTAACCGCTGATGTTAAAAACTGCTCATGAAAACAAATGTTCTTGGATTTTGGTTTTATGGTTCAACCAATTATATAAATTAAATTTTTTTTTCAGTTTAAATATAATGTTAGTATAACATGATTACAAGTACAAATGACATTTTAGGTTGCTTGGCACCACCCTAGGTTGAAAATACTGCTTTAGAGCATAGCTTCTATCAGGGCCTTAACTACACGCACCTAATAATAGTCCCTGGTTTGCACACTTTTTACCATGCACTCTTAATTTATCCGCTCCTTGGCATTTGTTTTACTGTACTTGTAAAACTAAAAAAAAAATATTGAAATGTTTGGCAATACGAAAAATTTTTATAGAGGAAGACGATAAGAGGTGATTCTTGAGTGTTTTGTCATGGCATAGAAAAGTGTCAGCACATACACTGATTGTTCGCGCCAGTTGGCAAGGTACTCGATGATGATGATGTTAAATGGTCACACTTTGAACCATGAAAACAATACATTTAACAAAATAAATACACCTTAAGAATTATATCGAATGTTTAATCTTTAGGCTGCAGACGTTCCACATACACAGCAGACATCAGAAATAGACAAAATCAAAGCAGTTATTAACCAGTCCACAATAGGTTTTGAACCATCAAAGTAAGTATACACATTTTCTTATCATGTCTGATTTATTGCTTAATATAATACATTGGTGTAATGGTTTTGTTCTGTGGTCAGCAATTCTTGCTATAATTAAAAATATGCTGTTAAAAAAAAAAGAATATTATTGTATTTACAAGTGATCTTTTATTCTGATAACTGCTATATCGTCTTTAGAAAAACGAAATTATATCACTGTTGTCTCATGCTTTAATTCTTAAATGCTTTAATCTACCTGAGAAGCAAGGAACCAAGAGTCTGCATGCCTTTAAACCAGATATCAAAGCGGATGTGCATTTAGCACTCAGGTTCTGGAGTGAGACTAAAGTTCAGAGGTGGACAAACACCCAGAACTTTCTGCCGGAAAGAATAAAAAGAATACAAAATGGAATTAATTTGAGTAACAGCCGTATTACTTTTATGTATTTTGTGTGTTAAAATTCTGTCATTTTTTGGGCAGTCTACAAAAGTTAGTCATTAGTATGGCTTAGGCCTTGCGAACACTTTTTGTGATCCGAGGTACCAGGTTCAATTCCATCTGAGGGAGGTTTGGCAGCAGGCCACAACACTGCTTTGATTTCGACAGTGGTATTAGGATTTGGCTGTTCAAAAAGCAATAGCAGACTACTGAACATAAAAGTTACCTTGTAAAACCAAACAGCCTAACACTTTTGATTTTGTAACATTCTGTGAAGGATGCGCAACTAACGAAAAAAGAAAAATCATAGTAAAGCTCTTGTTTCAATCCTTATGATATATTAATATCATAGATATAATAACCCAGTATTTGTTACAGCATATTGTTGGTTGATTTCAGCGCCATGCTGGCCACCTTTATTTCTTATGCCATATCCTGGTACCCATTTAGGTTGGATCCGAGTTAACTTTAAACAAATGAGGATAACCTTGAATTTGAGCCTGTGATTGCCAGGCCTGCAGTCAAGCGAAAGTGATAACAGCAATATATAAAATTATGAAATGCAGAATTCTTCATTGGGATGGATGAGCTTAAATGTTTGAAATAATAACAGGTCTGTGCCAGGGCTTCCTTTTACCCCTTCATTATTCTGACTTTCTGTAGATTGGATTGTGAAGATAACTACCATCTCTTTTCTTCTTCAGTATTTATCGTTTGTTATACATCTGTTCCTGCATGGGTTACAGACCTGATGGTATGCAATCTTTACCGCTGCCCAGGTTCTCTTCCATAGGCCTGATTTCCTCCCTCTGTCTGGCATATTAAATGCAGTATTTCAAAACATGCTCTACCACCAGAAATCATGAAAGAACAGCTTGATTTTTACAAACTCAACAAAATAATTAATTCAGAGGGTCTGAACCACACATAGTGGTACATCAGAAAAAGGGCCATGCTGGTCAAGACTTTTCCATGGTCACCATTGAAACAGGTTTCCAGCCGGAGCATGGCTATTGTAGGTAGGGTCGACATTACCGTCAAAGTCAGAGTGCATCTGCCTGGGAGGCGCGAAAGCAACGGCTGCGCACAGATATTATTTAATAATCCAGATCTGTAAAATGAATGTGCGCGCAAAACTCCAGTCCTGGAATACCAAGGTCCAGTAGCAGACATGCAGACTTTACTGCAGGTGAACGTGAAGAAGAACAAGAAGAAAATAATGCTCATAAATGTTGGCATAGAAATACCGATTACAAAAATATTGTTGCCCATATTTTTAATGGACAATTAAGAGAAAATATTTTAGTGTTTTGATTATTACACCTTAAAATATGCGTATGGTTCCATCATTTTTTTCAGTTTTGTGGGGAAGTATCAGCAGACCATACCATATGATCATTATGTCTGCAAACGATGTAACCAGAGGGGTCACTTTGTGACCAACTGTCCAAACAGCAATCCAGTAAGTTGTGTATATGATTAAAAATATTCACTGCATATATTCTAGGCCAAATTACAAAACCTGTGTATCAATGTGTCTGAATCCAAGAGTTGGCAACCACTTTGGATTCGTGCGCCAAATTTAGCATTACCAACCTGGTCGCATGCCATGTAGAAAAAATCAATTATAAGAATTAAATAAGACCCAAATTTTCTCTTAATATAATATTATGAGATAATCTAAGATTTTAATCCCCTACTAAGACAGGCCTGACATACTCACCCACTGAAGTCCTTGTTTTATATTTTCATGAATGCGCCTGTCCAAAGGAAAATAAAGTCACCACCTTGTATTTTTCTCTTTTTTAAAGTCCACCAACAGACACTGGTTTCTGGTTATTGCTGTTGAGGTTATCACTTTTTGGGATGTTATTTTTGTGTTCTGCTCAAGCTCCAGATTGTATGTTAATTTTACCCCAGCCTCCCAGGCCAGTAAAAATATCACTTAATCACTCTTTTAAATATTTATGTAAAGTGTTTTTCAGAATTATTGGAACTCAACAACCAGCAAATTTAACTGAAGTGAAGAAAATGTCTTGGAACATGATATTTAACAATGTTCTATTAGAATAATGTGGACAAATGTGCGCCTTCTGTGATGGCATGTACAATATAACAATTTAGTTTGGATTTGTGAATTTCAGTTTACAGGATTCATTTTTATAATGTGTTTTATTGTAATGTAAATTCTGTACTAGTGCAACTGTTGAGATAGAGCATAATGTGCCAGGCAATTAGTTGTGTAAAGTTTGGTATCTATCCTCATTCTTTAGATTCAATGTTTTTCAAAAATAAAACTGGATTTTAAACAGGAAAACATTTTGAAAAAAAAATAATTCTCTCTTATAATTGTATGTGTCTCAAATCTTTAGGAAGATCGCTACAATGAACCAAGAATAAAGCGCACCACAGGGATACCTAGCACTATGTTGACCATTGTTGATGACCCCATGCATCCAGGAGCACTACTGACCCACGGTGGTCAGTTTGCTGTACCCACCGTCGATGTGTAAGTGTTGATGCTTGTGATGTAATAGTAAATGTTTGTTATTGTTTTGTTAGTGTGGTTTCTTCCCATGGGTGAATACAAAATGCAATGCTGAGAAAAACATACCTTTAAAAGGGAATTTAAGTCGAGAATGGATTTGAGAAAATAAAGGCTTAAAGAGAAACCCTAAGATAACAGGCTAAAGGTGCTGCTGAACTAGATTCCATGCATATTTTAAAGAACTGCTCTGGATGGAACAGTTTGGAGATCTAGACTGTGATTCCCGCGTGGTGTTGAGTTGAGTTGATTCAATACCGACATTACAGCACTCGGGCATTCACATAAGCCCTCTTTCCCCATCTTCAGCAGCCAGTGAAGAGTTCCGATACTAATGGTGCTAGTAACATTCTAATTAAACATCCATCTTGCCTTTCCTCTGGGCCTCGAGCATCTGCCAGACCCTCTCGTCACTCCCCGTTGCATCAGTCTCACCAGACTGGTGATCCATCTGCTCCTCCGAACTGAACATGCTCTCGCACAAAGCACTAACCACGTCAGCCCTATCATACATCAATATTCCATCAAGTTGCGCAGAGCCAGCCAGTCTGTCCGCTGTGTGGTGTATTATGGTACAGCATGATAATGGCAATTACAGGTCCAGAGCAGGGCTGTTCAGCTGATGGCCCAGGGATCATTGCCCATTGTGTTGTATTAATAGTCTATCTATGGCTGGGCCATGATAATCCCCATTTTCAAAACTTTGGCTCCTGAGTAAACTTAATTGAATAGCCATGCTGTAAAGAATATTCTTCAATCATTGTCTTAGCTTTATTCCTATACTGCTGTTTGCCTACACTGGCTGCCCCACCCACCCAATCCCCCTTTCTGGTCTTTGAAACATCTGTACCTGCAAACTGTAACCTTGTGCCCGAAATTTCAGATCACAGGGCTGACAGCTTAATCAGCTACAGTTTTTTGGGTAGAGAAGAAAAAGTGTATTGGTAGCTGCAGGTGTTAGCAGATATTTAATCAACTTCATGGAAGCTCCCTTGGATGGTGGGAAATGCCCATGATCTGCCCCTGCCTTCCCTTGAGGGCTGACCATTCTACATAGGATTGTCCTAAAGGGGGTTCTCCTGAGGCAACACCTGTTAGATAAAAGGACAGAGAGGACACCACACAAATAAGGCAACATCTCGACCCACACAAAACAATGACCACAGTCATCGTAGAGATAGGCTTGACATCTTCCCTCGAAGTTGGAGTACATCTGCTAGGGAGGCAGGGAACAAGAACTGCAAATGAATAAGCCAGTAAAACGGATGTACACGCAAAACTCAGGTCCAGGTAAAAATCAGATGTTCAAATGGACGAACAACTGGGACTTTCTGCCAGAATTCACAGCCAGTGAACAAGAAGAAGAAAGAAGAAGAATCAAGGCAGCTGAGAATACTAAAAGAAGAAAAAAAAAATAAAGGACCCTTTTCATACTTTAGACATATAAGATTAAAAGGTTAGAATCATATTTTGTTTAGACAGATCTGACACTTGATTGGTTAAAGGTCAATGTCACGCTGTCTACATTTGCTTTCTAGGCCATTTCCTGGTACCGCTCTTGTGCTCGACCAACCTTGGAGTCCATATCAATATTAAAGATAAGCTGCTATGATGCAGACTTAACCATTATATCGGCTCAGCTCTCTAAAATACCTTCTCATTGTTTAATATTAAATCCCATCCATTACTGCCGAGTCAGAGTCTTAGAAGAATATAATTTCTTTCATTCCAGGCAGGGTTATAGAGAAGTAAAGAAAGAGCGCCCACCTTTCCTGCCATTTGAGAAAAATAAGGAGCCTGAGAAGAAGAAAATTCCACAGGAACTGCTGTGTCACATCTGTGAAGATTTGTGTGTGGATGCTGCCATAGCTCCTTGTTGTGGAACCAGCTTTTGTGATGAATGTAAGTCCTGGCTGTGAGTCGCAAATGTACTTTTCTTCTTCCCATTATACATGAAATGGTTTGAACTTTGGTAGAGCTGGGAAAATTGTAAACAGTTAAAAAACACCAATATTTCAGATTTACAAAATTGTTTTTAGTGGAAGTAAATAAACAAGGAGAAAACATGCAAAGAATAAGAAAGTGACCCTGTAGGAAATACAATAAGGCATTACCAAATAATATATAACAACTAAACAAAAATAAGGAAGCACTTTGAAATGGAATATGTTGTACTTACCAGCAGATTGAAAGGGATTATTTTGTACTAATATGTTGTACTTACCAGCAGATTGAAAGGGGTTATTTTGTACTTACCTGCAGGTTGAAAGGGAATATGTTGTACTTACCAGCAGGTTGAAAGGGAATATATTGTACTTAATCAACTACTGAATGTAAAATTTGCCTAGAAAAAAAAAAAACACAACAGCCCCAAAAAATGTTTTTTTTTTAGTTGTTGGTTCTGCAACGTCCTGTAAAAGATCTGCAACTAACTTATCTTAATCATCCTGATCTTGAAAGAGTAGTTGTATAAAGCTGTACTGTAAATCATATTTTCCAGTTGTACAATTCTTTTGCCATTCTTCTGCCTTCACTGTTGAAAGGTTGGGTGACATATTTAAAAAAATTGTTTGTTTAGAGCCCAGCTGCAATATTTGCTTTGACTAAGCTCCTATCCGATAAATCCCTTACTACTTAACTTTTTCAACATGCTTGTTCTGGGTCAGAGTTCCCTCTTCGCCACGGAATCTGTATGAGGAATTATTTCTTTTACTTCAGTTTTACCATTTATAAAATGGAACCAAAAATAATAGTTTTGACTATTATTGATGTAACTAAAACCTGACAAGATTGTTGTGACTATCTCTCACTCACTCACCACAGGTTTGAGAGAAGTTTTGCTGGAAAGTGATGACCACATGTGCCCTTCTTGTAAGGAAACAAATGTTTCACCAGACAAGATAGTGCCCAATCGTTCCACCAGATTGGCAGTGACAAACTTCCTCAACGATACAGGCTATACAAAGGTAATTTGGTACTATGTCTTAAGGTATTTCCATAGTGTGTCTTAAGTCTGTCGTGTTTTTTTATTATTGCTTTATTCTATGACGACGATGTAAACTAAAAAAAGTGAAAGACCCTTCACACACCTGTGGCACATTAGGCATATGATTGTTAGAGATATATTTATAGACCTGTCACCAATTGGTGGGAACCGTCGTGGTGTGGTGGATAGATGATCGCCTGTGAACGTCGTGGGTTCAGGTCCTTACAGAGCTAAACTGTTTTTAAAAATGACCTTGACTCCCAAGTCTACCCAGCCTTAAGTGGGTACCAGATAACATTCTAGGAAGTAGAGGTAACATTGACCACATCATCCACAGAGTGCCAATTTGGTCTATAAAATATAGGCCTGGCTTTATATGCCCAGTACGCTAAGGCGTAGAAAAGGGTCCTTTACTTACTTACAAATCAGCAAATGATGTGTTCTACCCTATACTGGCCTGGCCTTTACTTTTAAAGGGATTTTCTGATTTTCATTTTTAGTCTGGGTTGACCTAGAAGCCAAGGTCATTTATTAAAAAAAAAATAAAGCTTGTGGATTAGATCTCAAGAGTTCGGGCCAGTATGTAAAGTAGTTAGCCAGCCACTGTTCTATTCGGATAGTTCATATTAGGTTTGTTATTTTTTTCTTTGAAACCTGTGTCATGGTGTTTTATCTCAGTTATTTCACTCAGTGTGTCTCTTCTAAGACATCATGTTTTTATCAGAGGTTACATCAGTCATGGTGTTTTATTTTAAGCTGCGTATGTTATAGTGTCTGTAATTTTGTAAAAAAAGAAATTTTTCTATGTTATGAGACTCAATTCTGAATTACTTTATAAAATTAAACAGTTCTTTCAATATGACTGCATAATTTATGAATAGTATTCTGACATTCATATGAAATTTTCCCCAGTCTAAAGTCATGCCAAAATTTTGCACAATGTTTGCAAACCTATGTTTGAAGTATTTTTCTAATAACAATTTTATAATTTATTACCAGGTTAAAAAACGGCGCTTGAGTTCTCACAATGGGGATAGTTCGCCACAGACACCACCAGCATCAAATCAGCCAACATCCCCAATGAAACCTTCATTCCAGCCCGGCTCAAGCTCTGGTTCGCACGGTATTACGTCATCAGCATTCACAGACAGAGACATTCTGAATCAGCCACATGTACCAGTTAGCAACACCTCAGCACACTCCTTTCCTCCAAACACAACACAGGAGCAAACAGGCCAATTTCAACCCCAGTATAATTATTCAAGACCACCTAGGCTAGACCACAACCGGTACAACCGAAATTGGAGACACCACTCTGGCAGTCAACCAAGTGCTATCAGTACGATATCTCGCAGGTAAGTACGGCATTGAAAATATAATTTATCTGCATTTTTTGCCTTACACACATGTCTCTCTGTCTGTCCCCTTTTGGCCACTGTCATGTATATTACTGTTATCATTTAGATTCAGGTGTGTTGGGAAATGAACAGTCAGGCGGACTGCTGCATCAATTGTGGTAAATTGATACATGAAATTTAGATATTGTCAAGATCATTTGGGAACAATAAAGAGCCATAAACATGTAAGTCTGAAGAAAATGGTGTATTGGAGAGTGACCCGGAAGTAGGCTAAAACTTGGCTTTCATTGGAAAGGCAGGAAGGACAAACAGTCAGACTACTACCGGCATCAGCAGAATTGGAATTCTGTGCTGGCTGCTGAAGATGGAGACGGAGCACTTTTGGGAATGCCCTGTGCACTGTTTTTGCGCAACTCCAGAATATTATGGAAAAAATATTACTATAAGTGGGAGGAGGTATAGTGATTCTTTAGAACTACCACTACTGTGTCCCTGACAGCCCCCACCGGATGAGCTTGCTCTAACTACTACAAGGTTAAGCTCTCAGCCACACTGATGGCTGCAAAGTATATGAACAAGCTGCAAACTCCTGCAGAAGGGATTGTTTTTCTCACAGACTCGCTGTCAGCCCTAAAGGCACCAAATTTACTGACACCACACCACTGTCTAACAAAGGAGTTTGCTGAGTCGTCAAAAAAGGCAGAAAGCCACATTCCGTGGATTCCATTTCATTGTGACATCAAAAGCTGTGAAAGCACTGACACTTTAGTCAAGGAAGGCAGCAGCAAACACCAAATCTACCAGCCACTATCTTTATCAGAAGTCAAAACCCCTTTAAAGAGAAAATCAAAAGCAGATAGGAAAACAGACACAAGTTATAACTATTTAAAAAAAAAGTTTTCCTTTATTGTCTGAACAGAACAGATCAAGTCACAATTTTTCACTTTCACACTGGACATTGCAGACTCAATAAACACTCAAAGTTAAGTGTGTGACGAAGTTCTTTGTTAGTGTTCTCATGCTGAGCAAACTGCAGAATGTATCTTGCAAGACAGCCATCTCCTGTAGGACTTACGAAGCAACATGTGGTCACACCCAGTAAACCTGGCAACTAAACTTTGTAGAAACCTGCGAGACCTTAAGATGACATCCCAATTTCTGACCCATGGATTAAGTCCATGGCCAGAGATCGCTGAAGAAGAAGAAAGCTGCTGTAAGCAAGGATGTATGAGTGCAAGTACTTATTCAGTTGTAAGCTAATTTGTAATCTGGTAGCTTCTGTATAAGTATGCTCTGAAGGTCTTATTAATTCTTTATAGAGACTATACATTTTGAAATGTCTGGTAATACTGATAATTTGTGTGTGTCTGTAATGCAGAAATGATGATGATATGCACTACAATAGATCTTACGGAGATAAGTCATCACATAATGCAGGTGGATATTCTGCTTCATCCACAAACTTTAACAGAGAGAGGTAAGTGTGAAGACTTTCTGTTTTGTTATTTATTTGTTGATGAAGCTAATTTTATTTTGATCATGTGGATATACAAATACAATCTTCATTACATCATAACTTCCAGCAACATGTTATATCTGTTGTAAAGCTTTTCTTGTATTCTTGCATGCTGGATGCATTATATCTGTTCCCTTCTTTGTAGCTGTCATGCTGGATCCATTATATCTGTTCCCTTCTTTGTAGCTGTCATGCCATTGTTCCTGCTGTGTGCTTCACAGTGTTTTCTACTGCCAGGATGAAGTCCTTTGTCCGCAGCTGCCATAACTTCTGCTTAAGCTCAGCCATTTGTGACCATATTTGATAGCAAGTCATGAGTCATGACTGCTGGGCCATGCTGAAGACACTATTTAGATTTCTGAAATTTAATCCGTAGTGGAAGACATTGAGATTGTATAGATGAAGTCTGCAGTGGCCAGTCTTTGACAGAAGGTAGTGGTTTTTGCCCCTGGATTTTGGTGGACTGAATCCAGTCTGTTGTCCATACCTTTGTTTTTCTTCTTGTGAGAGATGTATTGGCTGGATGTTTTTTGTTGGGTGTTATGACTAGCTGAATGGTTTCATTTGTCTGGTGCCAAATTTCATTAGTTATCTCATTTCTGTAATACATTGGTTTGAAGGTAGCCACTGAAGGCAGAAGTTGAAGACTTTTGGGTATAATTTTTTTTTGGGTGTAACTTCAGACAGCGTTTGTTCACTTAGAGTATTTTGCATAGTTCCCAAGAGAAATCTGCAAGGATAATGAGACATTTCCTTCAAAACTTGATGATGTTCTGGTTCTCACCACATGCAGAATTGCAGCTGATTCGGTGAATGCTAAGAAAAGAGGGGACGCTGTGAAAGAATTAGGCTTTACAAAAAAAATCTAAACTGGATGTTGTATGTCCTATTTGAGCCGCCTTTCCGATGACACTTTATCAGTATTGGTTTTTTGAGTGTACCAGCTTCTCCACTTTTGATTGTCCACTTTGCTGATCCATGTATGAACATTTGTTCATTATACTTGGTGGTAATTATCCTCATTTATTTCATGAACTAGCACTTTACCTGCATTGATATTAAAAAAAAAACAACACATAATCTATTTTTTTTTTAATCCTTTGTGTAAACTGACAGTTTTTGTATAGCTGTTGCATAATTTCAGTGACAGACAGTTCACAGTGGTGTGACTGACCCTGTCAGTTTGTCACAGAAGCTACACCATTTTAAAACTTGCTACTCCACTCTTACATTTACTGGACTGACAGGCATGCATCACCGTATTTGAGCTTCATTCGCTGATACATTTTTAATGGTTTTCCTCCGCTGATTAAAAAAAAAAAAATACCCCACCTCCGATTACAGAACGGGACTCCTCTTTGGTGCATGTTAAAAGTGGAGCGGCTGCCTTGAAACTGTCTTTACGATGTCACTGTGTTTGTCTGCACCAGGATTTTATGTGCTTAACGCTCTTGACATCCTTAACAACAATGTTGACATGTTACATGACAAGGTTATGGTTATTGTAATTTCAGTTACACTTTTAAGGTTTTGACTTCAGGCTTCCAAATAATTATTTGTATTTATGCCATCTGCCTTATTTTTCACTTAGCTGTGCTGTCTTGTTTCTCATTAAATTAATACTATTCAGTAATACTAAGGATTCTATTATATAAGTCCTGAAAATCACCATGCTTGGACTTCAATTAACCATAGGCTTTCAAACTTATAGGAAATCATTGTAGAAGTCACTATTGCCAATTCTTATGTAATCACAGCAATTAGAATTGACACAAAACTAAGCCTGTAACTGTTTCCTGGCCACAATAACCGCATATAATTTTGCTCATATGCACCACATTCAACAATTAGAAAGTCACATCTATAAAAGTTATGGGGAAATTTATGGTTTTAAAATGTCTGATCATCATCATGTAGCAGGTTCTTTGCATAACGTCGCTCTCATCGTAGTCTGCCTGAAAGAAACTTGGTCTCTCGCCAGTTCTCCCACCTCATGTACTTCCATACTCAAAGAGTCACTTATATGCTGTGCCCATCTTTGTGTTGGACACCCCCTGCCACCCTCCTTCCTGGTACCATGCCTTCTGCTATTATTTTTTCCAATCTGTCGTGGCACTTGATATGACCAAAATATTTCAGCTTAAAATTTAAATTAAAAATGTATAGTTGAAACAAAATGCATGTCAAGCCTACCACAATATAGTGCACCACCAAACCATTTCATTTGGAAGGAATCAGAGCTAGAGGTTAGTTGAGGTCACCCACACAAGCGAATACCAGCATCTGTAGAGCACACACAAAGGCTTGCACTAGATCTCTCTTCAAAACCTGACACTGACAGGCAGAAAATGACAAGAGAAAAGAAAAAAGAAGGTTATTAAGAAGCAAAAAAAAGTTGCCTGACCTCTATAGAATATTGCAAACCAGCACTTGCAGTCTATTTAGGATCCTGGTATGTCAGCATTATGAAACTGGATTCACAACATCACCTAAATAATATTGTTTGATTAACTCTTTCAATCCCAATTTGGTACAATAATCACAGTGAAAAATGCATCAGTATATGACTTTTAAAGATACGCCATATACTGTGCTGCATTACAAATATTTGACCAGATTTTGTGTGTGTGCATACCCAGACCAAATATAAAATAAATAATAACACACTATGCCTGGTTGATAGACATAGAAATAAGCTGCACACACATGGTGTATTGCTTGCGACAGAAAGAACTGAGCACTTTAAAAAAAAAAACTTACTATAAATTCAAATGAAAATTTTGTTGGGGAAAAAAAAGAAATGGATTTTCAGTTACTCTGCTTTTCTCTTGAACTGAAGATGAACCTAATATATTGTATCCATAACCTTTCAGATCTTCAGGGATGCCAGCTACATCTGGAGCTGCACCTGTGTTGAATGCAGCCGGCCAGGCAGAGTCTCTGTCATCTGTAGCCCAAGCAGTTTGGCCGATTATGACATCTTCACTGCTGAAATCCATGGCAGTGCCATTCAGCAATTCTATTCCGCCGCTGACTACAGTCTTGAATGTTAGGCCGCCACCACTTGGAATCCAGACTCCAGCACAAGCATGTTAGTCTACAAGTTTATCACTTTCTGTGTGTCATGTTTTACATTCTTCTTTCTAACAATTGTATGTGATACCCTGGTTATTCTCCACTGTTCAAACATATTTCTGTTTCTGAAACTTTAAAAATGTTTTGCCTTTAACTTGATGTTTTTCAGGTTTTGTTGATGTTGAGACCTCTTTGTCTTGCCAGATGATAGTGTAATAGTGTAATTTAGTGCTATAGGGAGGCATGGAGGCAGTTATGAGTATTTCGAAATGTTTGAAACCTTTTTAAAGTTGTAACCTGACTCCCTGTGGGGGTAAGGGGGGATGGACCCATTGACACCTCTAACAATCCTGTCATCAAAGGTGACAAATTAGAGGTTTGCTGGAATCTGATGTGTTAGGTCAAAAGGTGTAGATGTAGCAGCCTGGCTCTAAACCAACAACAGTGTAACCATTTCCTGATCCTCGAGTACATTAGGCATGTTAGTGGCGAGCGTGACTAGCAAAACCTGCCCTGATTAGATAAAGTCTTTCTGACAATTAGAGCATGGGATTTTAGGACCATTGTTGCCATCACATGTATTTAATGTGCTTCAGATTTTAAAAAGGCAAGTTATGGACTCTGTTTGTGACATTAGCACATAAACATGTTTGATACGAAACCCATACTACTTTTGTTTAAAAAAATTTAAATGGATCATTTGGCATTCTGTGAGTGATGCGGTTAACATCACGATAGCCACCTTTACTTCCCAGGACATTATCCGATAAATGTTTTATGGTTCGATTGATATGGAAGCCAAGGTCACTTTCAGCAAATTTGCATTTATGCAGGATAGAATCTAAACTGTTTGGACTGGCAGACGAGCACCTATCCACTACACCGCTACAGCTCCCAAGTCTTGGAACATACCCCTGGAATTGCTTCTAAATTGTCTTACAACTTTATTTTCTTCACATTGTTTACATATTCCTATTCTCTTCTGTGTTGTCTACTTCATAACTTTGTGTCTTTTTTATTGTTAATTGTAGGAAGTTTACATTCTTCTTCTTCTTTCGTTCGCTTGAAATAGTTATGTTTGCAATGTTGTCTCTAGAATGAACTTCACTGTCTTTTGTGATTCACTCAGCGACCCGTAAAGTTTGACTTGCACCGATGTTTTTCTTGGCCAAAAGTTTTGCCTTGATATGTTGTATTTGGGATAGTCTTGGAGGAAATGATGTGTTGTCTCAGGTGCCAATCCACATGTGCACAGGGCTGGTTCGCCGATTAAAAATTTTGTATACATATGGCCGCGAAGTCTATTGTGTCCTGTTCTAAGGCGTAGAATAATAACTGGCTCTGGTCTGTCCATAAAATGGTAAACGTTTTGTGCTGGTTTTTATGGCTTTCTGATAGATTTGATTATTCTCTTCTTTTGTTGATAAGAGACTGGTACATCAGGTTGTTCTTCATTTTCACCTTCCTTAGCTAGTTCTGTCCTTTATTTGAACTGTTTTCTAGTTCTTATTTTTTTGTTACTTTTAACTCCCTCCGTGTTCCAGTGCATGATTTTGAGACTAGATTGAGGCATACTTCCTATAATGTTTGTGCGTGGCATCCTGATATTTAGGGTGCGCCTCCTGGCTGGTTGCCTTCGACTTCAGCACCTAATGGAAATTTACAAGGGAGAGCTTTCAGATATGAGATGATCTGTGAAAACAAAGATAAGATGAAAGGAAAGGTTTCTAAAAAAGTATGCTGGTGCACATTTGCCATTTGAGTTGTGCATTAAAATAGTACTGCTGCTTTTTAAAAATCTGTATGAAGCTGATACATATTCAAAATGTTAACAATAGTTGCAATTTTTAAATTTTTTTAAAACTTTATTGGGAAAAAGATTTTAAAAAAGAGCACCACATGATAATTGATTCTGTTGATAGTGTAGGACAGCGAATATAAATTAAAAAGAAAAAAACACACATGCAGTTATGGATATTTCAAAAATTATTGAAGCTTTTTAAAAATTTGTAACCTGACTGCCTGTGGGGGTAAGGGGGGATAGACCTGCTGACCCTTCTAACAATCCTGTCATAAAAGGTGACTAGTTAGAGGTTTGCTGGAATCTCATATGTTGGATCAAAAGGTACGGATGTTGCAGCCTGGCTGTAAACCAACAACAGTGTAACCATTTCATGATCTTTGAGCACTAGGGTTTGCCTCTGCGGTAAACGGTTAAAAAAAAACGTTCTGATGGTAGTACTAAAGTCACACCGTGGAAGAGAGTAGGGGCCTCACCATGTAATATTCTGAAAGACAACAGTGGTACATTGTAGTCAAGCCTAATTGTAAAGACAGCACATATATTTTTGTTTTGTTTTTGTCACAGCTGTCTGTTATAGTAGGCTGTATCATTGGTAAACCAACACAGCACTTTGTGCTATTCTGTAAGTGCAAACACAGAAGAAGAAAAAAAAGAAGCAACCTAACATTGTTAAAACGGGTTACAGGTGAATCTTACAAGAGTAAATTCAGCCATTGAAACAGTAAACCTTAGAATATAGATAGGCTTTATTTTATATTACCTTATTCTGATCATTTATTTTTATTATTGATTGATGAATGAAAGTATTTTGAATGCAAATATCTTGTGATGGGAAGCAAGATTGTACTTTTGTTAGCCCACATAGGGTGCAAGAACTAAATAAATGTCTGACAGATAGTTAAAGAGCGATTGGGACCGACTTTATTTCTGCAGTTAAGAGGCCAGGGGTGCTAGACTGGATTCCTGTCATGATATCGAAAGGATTGCACAGGATAGAATGGAATGCAGAATTAGACTGTGAGCCAGATGGGACACAAGAGGATGATGAATGAATAAATGAATATAGCAGGGAAGGAAACAGAATCCATAAATGGGATTACGGAGAAAATTGTGAACAAGATAATGGTTAGATAACGAGTGTTTAAAAAAACTGATTTTGCCCTCATCCTCTTCTGGACTCTGTAAAGAAACCCTAAATTTTTGGGGGATGTTGTGTGGTTTTGCTTTATGTCAAATAGTTTGCTTGCAGCTGACCTCAAACAGTGGTATGTCAGGATTGTAAGATTGTTTTTGCGCTGATGGTAATGACCAATAAATTCACTTGAGAGAAAGGTAGTAATAAACACCACACATATTAATAACAGGGGGAAATGCAGCTCTTGTTGTACATGTGTAAAAGGTTATTCTTATGCCTAATACTTATTTAGGGTATGCAATATTGTCACATATTCTAAGTTAGTACTGTAAGTAAAGGACCCTTTTCCACGCCTTCAGGCATATAGGGCTAGACCTATATTTTTATAGACCAATCGGCACAAGATGGTTGATGTGGTCAGCATCACGCTGGCTGCCTCTACTTCCCAGGACTACACCCGGTACGCACTCAAGGCTGGGTCGACCTGGGAGCCAAGTCATTTTAAAAAAAAGTCTGGCTTCTCCAGGAAGAGAACCCACGACCTTCCGATCCGCAGCGAGTGTCTAGCCGCTCAGCCACGGGGACTCCCTAGTTAGTACTGTACTCAGGTAAAAAAAAAAAATCTCTTCCCTTTCTGCATCCTGAATTTTAAAATAAGATTGATTTTTTATATTCAAATAAATTTGTTGCTGAAAAAATCAGGTTCATTGTAGCTTCACTAAACTGTTCACATTTAGTCAGTCGGTTGGTTGATAAAGAGAACTGGGGGAATTTTAAACTAGTGTTGAATGTAGGGAATTGGAACTAAGGTAATTTCAATCTTGCATCATTCTGAGTGAGGCTTTCGTAGTCTTTCTTCCTGCCATTATACTAGAGTACTTTCCGCTTTGTTGCAAAACTCTCCTTTCTCTTGTAGAGATCACATACCTGTAGGGTGTGCATGATTGCTAGTTCTACTTCACATTTGCAGAAAGTTAAAAGTTGAGATATTCTTCATAGCAGCGGATGTTTATCACTAGTGCTACTAAAATTTGAGATCTACTTCATAGCAACGGATGTTTATCACTAGTGCTACTTCACATTTTACAGTAAGTTAAAAGGTGAGATCTACTTCATAGCAACGGATGTTTATCACTAGTGCTACTAAAAGTTGAGATCTACTTCATAGCAGCAGATGTTTATCACTAGTGCTACTTCACATTTTGCAGAAAGTTAAGAGATGAGATCTACTTTATAGCAGCGGATGTTTATCACTAGTGCTACTTCACATTTCACAGAAAGTTAAAAGTTGAGATCTGCTTCATAGCAGCGGATGTTTATCACTAGTGCTGCTTCACATTTTACAGAAAGTTAAAAGTTGAGATCTGCTTCATAGCAGCGGATGTTTATCACTAATGCTACTTCACATTTTACAGAAAGTTAAAAGTTGAGATCTGCTTCATAGCAGCGGATGTTTATCACTAGTGCTACTTCACATTTTACAGAAAGTTATAAGTTGAGATCTACTTCATAGCAGTGGGTGCTTATGGCTTGACTCTCCATTGCAGAATAGCCAGCCACCTGCCTAGTGTGCCATACAAATCACAACAGGTTAACTCTGTATGTAAAAAAACTGCACCAGTGATGTAGTTCAAAAATTGTGTGCCTTATGAACACAAATGGCAATTGATCTATCAGTCAGTTTGTCCCCTCTGGGCTGCTACCTAAAGGTTTACTCTACTTTCCTGAGATTACTCTCAATCGGGACAGCAGACCAACAAGACAGATCCCAGATACCCTGTTCAGTCTCCCAAGAAGTTATAATTAGGGCATCTATAATGGCTACACTAACCAAGTGTAATCTGCAGTCGTATGCTGGTTAAAAAAAAAGAAAGAACAGATGCTGGACAGTTTGACATCATGGCATGGAGGATCATCTGTGTCAGAGTTGATTGAAACTGCACTGGACAGAAGGTTGTGGACAGACATAACTACCAATGCCACACGGCATGGACTTTAGGAAGAAGAAATAGGGGCTGCTGGTCAAAAAAGTTGCAGTGTTCTGTTTGGACTAGGGATATCCACCCATTACTCCTTA